GCGGCCGTACGCGTTGCGGCGCGGATTGCCTTAAACGTAATTATTGGCGAATCCGGTAAAAACGCATTAAAAAAAAAGCTTTGGGCGAAAGCAAAAGGCCCGTCCCTTTGTAAAGTTGGCTTTTGCCTTTTTTAATCGGAGGAAAAGGGGAAGGCGGCGCTTTTTATTTATTTGGGTTTGTTTTAAACAAACCTTTAAAAGTTTTAAACGCTTTTGGTATTGCAATTGGGGGCGTTGCAAGGGTGCCGCTTGTAATTGCGATTGGCATATCCGGTTTTAGGGTAAGCAAAAACCAATTTGTTGCTTTATAAGGTAAAGCTAGCCCTAACGGTTTTAAAGGTCGTTTTTCGGGCTCGTCGTTACTTTTACCCCTTACCGGCGGGAAGCTATCGCTTTTCCCGGGCCGTATAAAGCCGTAATACGAATTGCCCATACGTAAAAAGCCCGTATTACGCATTTGCTTTGTTTTATAGCCATTTTTTAAAGCATTTGGAATTAAAAATTTGTGCGCGTTTGGATCCGGCCCGTTAGCCGAATCCTTTGCGGTTTTAACCTTTGTAATTACAATAAAACCTGGCTTTTTTACCCCCAATTTTTAACCTTAATGTTCGGTAGCGAAAATAAATGCTTAAAGCTTTTTCGGTTAAAAAAGCCCTAGCGCATGTTAAGGGTTAATCGGTGCAAAGGCGGGTAGTTACCGGGTTACGGGCCGGATGCGGTATTTCTTTTGTTAAACCTTCGTAAATCTCTTACCAAAAGTGCTATCGCTAACAAAAATTGTTCCTTTTTTAACCTTTCCCTCCTTCGTCCCTTTCGGGCACCCGGGGTCGGTTTTTTAAATCTTTTGCGTTCCAAACGCTTTCGTACAATTTAAATTTTACTTTATTTTTTAATTTCGTTATTATGCTTTGGCCGCGATACCGGTAATTTGCCGGCATATCCTCGGAAAGTCCGTACCCGGCTAATTACCAGCGCCCCCTTTTTCCTTTTTTACCGGGCGGTTTCGCCCGTGCATTTAACGATCCCCGCTTTTTGCCGGGCGGTTTCGCCCGTACTTTTAACATATTGCCCTTTCCCGATACGGCTTATCCCAAACCGTTTATACCGCGCGTACGACCCCGTAAATAACCGGTAGCTTACGGTATCCCGTTAAACCGCTTTAATGCCCGGCAACGCTTAAAAAAACCGGTTATAAAGCTTTATAATATCCGGAAAAATAAGTTCGTACCGGCATATAAAAAGCTTTTTTTCCCGTTCGAAGCTACGAGCCCTTTTTTTTTTTTTTGTATACTTAACAACCATTTTAACAATTTTAACGATCGTAACCGTAAATAATCGGTATTTGGCCGTTCCTTTTAAATATTTAAACCTAACCGGTAATTGTAAATGTTATTTTTCGTACCCAATTACGTAAAAAAAATAATATTCCTTTAAGTATTTGCTTTAAGTTTTTCGGTCCCAACCGGCCCGTTAGCCCTTTTTGGCAACCCCCCGGTATTTTCCCCAATTATCGTAATTTAATTGGATTTGGATTCGGTTTTGCCGGAACTTTTAATCCTTTAAATCCTTAATAATTGCTTTACCGGTAACTTTCCGGTAAACCCTTTAAATATTGCGGGTTTATCGGGCCTTTTTGCGTTTGCAACTTTTTAAAACTTCCGCAAACGTTTTGCCGGTAACCCCCCGGCGGGTTTTAACCGCCGCGGCAAAAAAACTTTCGCCGAAAAAAAGCGTAAAGCGCGCAACGAACGCCGCCGCAACGCTTTTAATTCCAATAAATTTGCCCCCAAAACGAATACTGCTTTTTTTTTGCTTTATATAAATATTTGTAACGCGCTCCCGTCGCGAAAAGTTATTAATTTTTAATAAAGCAATAATTAAAACCTTATTTATTTGCCCTTTTTTAAGGATAATTATACGGAACGTACGGTATTTTATAACCGTTATTTTGGTTATTAAGCATATTAAAATTATGCCGTTAACCCCCGTATACCAATATGCTTTAATAACTGTACGGGGTTTTCCAAATGTATTTATTGCAAAAACGTAATTAATAATAAAACTTGCGTTAAACTTTTCGAATGGTTTTAAAAAATGGCCCAAAACTTTTACAAAATTTTAAATACCGTTTACAAACGGTTGCCCAAAACGATACCGAAACTTTTTAAAAAGCTTATTAAAGCCCAATTTCGCGCCCGCAAAACTATTTAAAAAGCCAAATTTTTTTATACTATATTGGCCGAACAATTTGCGCGTTACAAACGTTAAACCGTTATTTAAAAGCGCATTTAGCGCA